ACGTGTTCTTTTAGATAGCAGCATATATACCTCCATAGGTAGTAGTAATTTAGGAGGACAAGCGGCGTCCAATTCCTCGCGCCCAGCTTCACACCCGGTCGTCCACAAAGCAGTGTTCCCCAGTCGGTAAACTCAGTTGTATCTACAGGAAGAAGTTAGCGATCGAAGGCTATAGCCTTAACAGTGGGTTGGATGCAGCAAGCTGTTAAAGAGAACGTGTAAACACGTGATTTGATAATCCTCGGAGTCACCACGTGCAGCAAGACTTTCTGTTGCGCAGGCAGAGCTCACTTGCCTGATTTAGTTTAGCGTTTGCCCTATGTAGCTAGCGTTCGCTTGCCAGCCGCGGCCGGCATTAATCGCCGCACGTCGCTCGTTGCTTACACTACAATCAACAACCTTCTCTACTTCTTTACTTGATACTTTCTCAACTTCCCCTCCTCCATGCGTTTCTCGCAGCATTACCTACCCTAACCCAACCTAAGAACACTGAAGCATTTCGTCTTTGAGACAGCCCATTTTTCCAACTCTTTCAAGTTTCGTCAATGCAGAAATAGTAACAGAAGTCATTAAGTGATGACTCAAGACCTTGCAATTACTGTATTTCATCCTTCTCTCTGAAGCATTCTAAAAATCCAACTTGGCAGAGCAAGCCGTTCAAATTTCGGATTTCTACCCTGCGGCACCTGAAATGAGGCGGCTGCACAAAATCTAAAGAAGCTAGTGTTTTGGTTGAACTTCCAACGTCTGGGGATCCACTATGATACATGAAGAAATTTCAGATAATTATATAACGAGTTCCGTTTCAAGTACTACTACCAAATTCTATCTAGACGTTTGAAGTTTTGCACGATAAGCTAGCTTTTTCGGGATAGGTGCAGGCGGTAATGCGATGCTGACCTAGATTGTCAATCGTAGAAACATGCATCAAAATGACAGTTTGAATTGCTTGGAGCTTAAATATTATTATTTTATTATTAGTTTCGTGCTATCGTAGTAGTGACCCCTCTCCATTCTTCCCGCCATGTCGGTATCTCATCATCCCCTAACCAATAACTGCAGCAACCGAAAGCCATATATCCTAAATAGTCCGGATCCGTAGACCTAAGAACCTCTAAATCCCACGAATCATACTCGTTTCCCTGGCCGTGACAAAACCCAGGGCCAATTTTTTTTAAACAGTTTTCCACTGTCAAAATCTCCCTTATTCTTTTATCAGTTGTCTCCCAGTCCTCATTAAAACACTCGCAGCAGACGGCCCTCAATGCATCTCGGCACCCCCATCGTGGAAAAACATTATGACAGTACTGGCAAATGTTGTTCTTCCTTTCCTCCATCTTGGGCTTCCGTTCCCGCGAAAAGCATGTTCTGTGCGCATTTTTCGGAACAATGTAGTCGCAGTTGTAGTCTGGTGGCAAGAGGCAGTCAATACAGGCGCGAGAACTAGCACTTCGTATTTTCTGTTTATCGGTGAAAAGCGTTGCTGGTCGCATGCGTTCGCACCATGCGCAAGTGAGTCGGTTGTGTTTCACAGCCCATAAGCTGTCGTCTGCGCTGGCTAGGACCTCGTGATCCCAATATTGTGGAGGAATAATAGATGCAAAAGTGCGGCAGGTGGCTCGGAGGTGCGTTAGGCCAGGGAAGTCGAGGTCGGCGATGATGAGAAATAGTAGTTCAGCTGGAATGCGTAAAAGCGGAGAGGCCATTTTTTAATGAAGTGAGGTTGACTTGAGGATGACCGAGCCCTGAACTTGGGAGGGCACCGTTGAAATTCTGGACGTCGGATGAGGTTTTTTATAAGCTCAATTGGTTTCCGCGTCCTTCACGGTGACCGGTTGCGGTATGCCGGTCTGCGCGGTGACTCAGCCACACTGCTCCGCCACGAACGCCAACTTGCCAGCACTGCCGCAAAAATAAGGCCGACAGCAATAGCTCCCATCTAAACCTTATTTTACTGCAAAATTTTAAAAAAAGAACGTGCTATCGCTTTATTTAGTTTCAGTACTTCGGTCGGCACAGAGAACTCCAATGCTTCGGAGGGTTTAATTTAAATAACTATCCACAACAGCACTTTAATTATTTGATCTCAGAGTCCGGCATACAGCATGGCGTTTAAGCCACAACAAAGCAACTCCTTATGCCATGTCTAAACAAAACTTTGAGTCATTAAGATAATCTATATATCCTGAGCCTGAAACATTATAAATAACTACTGGGAAGGCCATACACTGATGACAGATGGAATAGTAGGTGCCGGCTTAGCAGCCACATCAATAGGTATTACTCAACAAAGTGCTATCTTACAGGTATATGTAGCGAGCAGATAGCAACTTATTTTGAGATTAGACACTGTCTTCCTCCCAAGTTTTTTCTCAACATGTTTATCCAACAACAATAAAGGTAAATAGAGACATTTAACTCACTGACGCATGTAGCAGAGAGACCCAAATGGAGCCAAAATGCCGCACGACATATGCATTTCACAATGCATGCGCGGTGGTACCAACAGGTGGGGCCCGCCTTCTGATCCTGCGGGGTTCTGTGACTCATGGTCATCATCGCCGGGCAAAGAACCTAGCGAACCGATCGTACCACAACAGTAGGAACCTGTTTGGAATAGAAGTACCAATCACTCTGTCTTTTCACCCACCTGGAGTGCAAATATTCTACAGCGCAATATAAGGCCACATCAGTAGAAAGAACGTCGTCAATACTCGCAGTACCGTCAATAATTTTCGATCTCTAAGTAATTTCTATCTCTAAGTAATTTCTATAATTAGTAAACGATTTACTATAACTTTTTAGATTTACTAGTAAGAGAACGCTGTCTTGACAACGAAGTATAGGGTTCTTCTTCTTTGTTTAGTCGCAGTGAATTCTTAACCTAATCGGTGCTCTACTTGCACTCATTGGGTAGGATGCATAGCTATTGGATAAAAAAACAAGACAACAGCTTACTGATTTAGAGCACCGGCTTGATATGAAGAGAAAGATGATGTAGTAGGAATTTAACGCTATATTTTTGGTAACACAGTTTATAAGAATGTCTCTCAACAAACAAAGTGAATTGATAAATTGTTAATTCGATCCAGAACGTCCTTCTTAACCAAACCAACTATCAACACAACATAATGCTCGACTTAGCCAATTACGAATACCTTATCTCTATCTTGTTTGGCACCGAAATAGCGAAATGTATTACTTTATTATACATTGATGTTAGAAAATCTCGTGGTCAGGTTTGTCTAACCATGAAAGAGCAATGGTTTCGGTTAAAAGTTTAGAACAAAAAACATTCTGCAAGGCAGCATCACAAACACATTTGTAGTGAGTCAAATTCATTGACTCTCCTGTGCATGGTGTTTGCCACTATCGCGTCCCAACCGAACTGGTTTTGTTCCACATGATGATAGCTTACACGCAGCAGTTGTTTGCCTCGGGAAACCCACAGCAGAGGACACCGGACTTCCACAGCTTATTGCAACACCACCTCCAGTCGTGCGCTCGGACATTTGCGCAAGCATCTACTGACACGTAGTCTAGGCAGCAATGGAAATTCTACCTTACCCGCAGACTCAGAGCACTACATAAATGGTCCTGTGATAGTGCAATATTCAACTCTTCACTTTCTTCGAAAATAAAGCATCAATCCCGATCATACCCTTTTTTTCGTGCGTGGTAAAGATAAATGGCTGTAAAGAAGCTAGAGCCGCGATATATCTCCGAGGCGAATTTGTATAAAATGCTTAATAAACATTTCCCGAACGGGGACTTCTCGGCTCAGGTTAGCATAGCAGACTTTCGAGACAGGCAGTACTGACTTCTGGTGGCAGACAGTGAATGGTAAATGGGTGATCACAACGCCCCAACCTCTGACCCAAGTAAGCTCTCATTTGAGAATCAGTTATTTTCATTTCTTTTGTCGCTTACTTCCTTCGTTTGTTTATCGCTGACCTGAGATCCTAGGCCCAAATTGACGAGGCCAAGGTTAATCAGCCGGCTTCTTAGCTGAAGGAAGAGCGGACGAGGGCGGAGTTGCGAACCGCCTTGATGCAGCCAAAGCACAGCCCCCTTGCTACAATCTCTCCACAAATGCATTTCATCGATTGCGAGTGGGGGGCGGAGGATGTTGTGGTACCTCAAGTTTCGGCTTTCATGGATGAGATCGTCCGTTGCCTTCTTGCCTGATTTACAGGACGTTCGCATAAATTCTAGCGATCCCACATCTACTCTAAAAGTCTACTTTTCTAATTTTGCTATCTTCTGTGAAAGTCCATTGATCCCCAAACTTCACACCAGACGCTTTGAAAATATCCCCAGTCATGCAGCAACCTGCACAAGTCATTGAAGGGCAGAACATCGATCTTCATAAACTCCTTGACGTGCTCAGTGATGTTTATGGAGCGACCAACTACAGGGTTAAGGTGAGATAGCTTTATAAATCAAATGGAATTTCAAGAAGGCTTATTTGCTTGAGCATTAATAGTTGCGACTGAACCAGTATAACATATATCCAACGGGTAATCGCGAGAATCAGCTAACAGAGGTACAAGGAGTCCTCCAATCAGCTGCAATATACACTAATGTGATTCTTCAGGACCAAATCAGAGACTGCCAAATATATCCAAGACGGGCGGGTAAACGTGGGCTGTGAAATACCAGAAAAACAGCATTGGTGGCGCTAATGCCAAACCTTGTGAAATCATTTGCAAATGCATAGCTGTAGATAGCACTGCGATCGTTAAGCTTGTCGAAGCGTCAGAAGGCAAAGTTGAGAACCGCCACACGATTAACGACAGTACAAATTGGGGGCGTGAGCGCCTGACGAGGAGACGAAGCAATCTGTACTCCTGTTCGGAGTTGGGCTCTAGTGGTTACCAATCAGGTCTCTCTAACCGTATCATCCGTATCATGCATGTCAGACGATGCACGTTGTGCAGCACGCTTGGCAACATCGGGGTACACAACGTTGTATCGCATACAGCTGAGTGCGACCAGTGGACGAAAGCTAAGCCACTCATCCAGTGGCACAGATTCTGAGAATCTAATTGGCGCTCAGCACAGCCCCCCGTATCTGATATAAAGGATGCCTCAACCCTTGACTAGCCTTACTGGTCAGCAGTCGTCGGAGGAGCGCCATAAAAATCAGAAATCGAGGTCAGCCTGACGCCTCACCATGGTCTACTGCCTCGACCTGGCAGATAATGACCGGGATCTTCAAGAATCTATCGACAGGAAGGCCAATACCTTGTTTGGCCCCAGGGCGGACAGGCCTCAGTTGCAAGTCAGTCGGATCTTCACAAACAGTAGCGCTTCAGTCGGAAATGCGGCCACGTCCATGGAGCTGGATGTTGACATCCAGAACTCTGTCCAGCTTCATGACTTAGGAACGGTTAGATTCGCAATTCCATGCCTGAAACGAAGAGATGGCTGACTCGGCATAGGGACCCGAAAATGAACTCCAGGTCTTTATTGTGCGGCAAGAACGCTCCTGGACCACGCTTAATGTTTCTAAAAGGCTATTCAAGGATTTAATGGAAGCCTTGGCAATATTTTCTGCATTCTGGGAATGCATGTTCACATTCGGGACGAAAGACGAGGAACATGAATGCGTGTTCCCTGGGTTTAGCTTACGCAGTTCTTCGTCCATGCCAGGAAAGGATACCCTCGGTTCGTCTAAGCTCCAAGGGTTGTAATCACGCATAGAGTATCTAACAAGGAAGTAGAAGCTAGCTATGTCTTGAGACGCGCTGAGCTTAACCATAGGAAGTTGGAAGAAGGCCAAATCCCTTGGTCAATCCGACAAACCGCAGTGTACCATCGACTTGATCGTCAGTCGGGCACTCTTCCTCTCTTTTCGTTCCCATCCAACGAGCAACGCTCATCATTCGTTCTCATTTCTCCTTCCAAACGTGTGGATGAGAGGGTCGGTCAGCTGCTAAAGCAAGCGCAGTCTGATAGGCGCGCCCGTACCCCCGGAGTTTGGCACAGCCTACTGGTTTCGGACAGCATTAAGGGCTGGCAGGGATATATTGCTTGGCTGGAAGAAGATGTCAAGGCGCGTGTAAGTAAATGCCGCTCTTGCACAAAATGAAAGCACCCGCTGATTGGTTTGGACGTGATAGTCCGACCAGATAACATTTGCCCCAGTCGGATACCCGAAAGGAGATGGTTTCAGATTCAGTGTTGAAGATCGTCAGGCTCTCAAAGTTGTCGAAGACTCTATCATCGACCTTCAGATCATACTCTCTACACTTATGGAAAATATTCTTGGCATCCGTAGTTATTGCAGGAGATGCTGTGGTATTTACTGTGGCAAAGAAAGTGGAAACGACTGTGGTTGTAAGTCTGTGGCTGATGAGTTTGATCAGTATGCCTCGGAGGTTTCTTTGTTCTTGACCCGGGCAAGCATATTAAGGAGCCGTGTTATATCCATCCAGAACCTGGTACTTCGCCTCATCCCACGAGTAATGAAATTATAACTGACTAGTCATTTAGCTTTCAGACCTTCTGCGCTACGAAGACCAAAGGGCTTTGAAGGACTTGACACTACAATCACAAGAAGAAGCTTGCACGATGCGGTCGTTAACTGTAAGATAGTCTCAACCTTAGGTTTGTATAGGAAATACTAACATAATGGCAGGAGAAAACCACCGAGGATGCAGCTGCTGTGAAGGTCTTAACAATCATCGGAGTGATATTCCTACCTACTACATTCGTAGCAGTAAGAAATCATCCATTTACCTTCGGTATTGCGCTTACATCAGTACAGAACATATTCTCCACTGAGTTTGTGAGGACTGATGACAACGGCCACGTTGTCGCAAGCGCCAATAGTTGGTTGCTTGCAGCAATCGCACTGCCATTGACGTTTCTCACTGTCGTCACATGGTGGCTCTGCGTGCGCTACCACCACATTTCAGCCTTGCAAAGGTCACTGAGGTACTTTTTTGCTCGGCTTTGGGGCTGGATAAAGTGGATGCGATGGTGGAACAAAACTCGAGTTCCTGACATCGAAAATCGGGAGTGCCAAACCAAAACGGGTACCACCGTCAGCATGCGGACATTGTCGAGGAAATCCACTGCCCCAGAAGCAAAGTGAGAGAGGTCCGAGTCGAAACGGAGATGTGGTTTGTTGTTTGAGTACTCCTTGTGCGGCTCAAAAAGCGATCGCCGATTGACCATACGGTATGTTCTAACAAATCATTGTTTGACATGTAAGCACAGCTAGTGGGCTACATAATGCAATGCACAAATGCCATGTTGCCTTATTGCCTTGTCGGAAAAGCACCAACGCCATGCATTGAGGCAAACGATAACTGTATCAATCTCATTTGTTCTGCTGATCACTCACCCTTCCAGTAGCAAAGCTCGATCGTATGAGATGGTGGATGTGGAGCGCCACTAAGGCAGACATGCGGTCTGTGGGTTGTGTTAAGCTGTAAGAAAAACAAGGATAGCCAAACTTTTTCCAGCCGCATTTTCAGAGTAGATTCGCTTGGCCCAGTCTACCACGTGCGTCAAACCTGAACTGACATATAAAGCGCTCTTAAACAAGCTTTTCCGGCTCAACCGTGCGACCATCCCCTTGTTATGCTGTAATTAGGTCTTTACTGTTTAATCTGCCAGCCTTCTCATTGTCGCACAGCACACCGGCAAAGCTACCCACCGCGTAGCCTCGACGGGTTCCCGAATGTGTTTCGGAAGCACTCTCAAGTACCACTGGAAAAGTACTTTTGAAGCCCAAGTAATTCAGAAGCCTAAGAGGTGATAATTTACTTGAGAATAGAGGGTGTCCTGACTTGGAGTTATAGAAGAACTCTTCTGTTACCCTTGTGGCAGTTGATAAACCGATGAAAACACTTGAAAAACTTTCAAAGGGAATAGATTACATTCCAGGTAAGACAAAGCCTAAAAGTCTTTGATTTCTGCAATCTTAACTTGGTATTTTCACTTGGCTAAATTAAGGCATAGGAATGGCCATATACAATAGCGTTTTCAACTATATAACACGTACCTCATACGCTGCCTGCTCTGAGAAACTCCAAAAGGAACTTGAAGATGCACGTCAAGAATACGAACAATCTGACCATTTCTTCATCCCTGAGGATATCAAAGAAAAAACCATAACACGGGATGCAATAGTTCACGCCATTCGGGCAGGGCAGTCAGCAAGCCAGCGACCCGAAAGACCGCAGCTGGTTGATGATGTCTATGGAAATGCAAAAAATTTGTTCTCGATATTGGCGTACATGAAGAAAGGCAGTGAGATCCGCGACTTCATGGACGAGGGAATATCAGATGAGGATTTACCTTTCGAGCGCTTACGAACAGGAGGCAAAGACATGTTTTCTATGCGGCGAAAGGAAGGACGGAAGATAGAAACATTGGAGCGATGGAACCCCAAAGATCGAGAAGAGCTCAGTCGAGTGCAGTGGTACATGCTGTCACCGGTGTTCCACTCCAGGCAACATTACAAGCTGCACGACAATGTTGTCCGACCATTTGTTGCTCTAAATCCAGAAGAACGGGAACAGCATCATCCAACAGGAGGAGGCTACAGCAACGTTTTCATAACCCGCATCCATAGCGCACATCACAAATTTCATTCCATCTGGCCCTCCACAGTAAGTTAAACACAGACATGTCATGGCGAACTTTTACTAACGAATGACACGCAGGAACTCGAGCTGAAGGTTGCCATTAAAGAGCTTTTGAGTCCGAAACGAGCTGATTTTGATAAAGAAAAGGGCATACTTCTGGACATCGGAAATGACGGACACTCGCACCCTAATCTGGTGAAACTCTTAGCAAGTTTTGAACAGAACAGGAAATTCTACCTGATTTTTCCCTGCGCAAATTCCAACTTACGGGAATACTGGAATAACCGGCAAGGGCCAATCTCAGATAAGGAGACAATTCTATGGGCATTAAAGCAAATGAAAGGCATTGCAGAAGCACTGGACAAGATCCACAACTTCGCGGTCACCATGCCTCTCGGCGTGGAAGGCGGAGTCCGCATTCCCCAGGATGGAGTGAAGCTCAGCGTTAAAAGGGGTGAAGAGAAGTTCGGTCGACACGGTGACATCAAACCGGAGAACATCTTGTGGTTCGAACATGCACCCGGCTCCGACTCCGATGGTCAAGCCGGAATCCTTCAAATTGCAGATTTTGGCCTAGGTCGTTTCCACGGACGCGATTCGCGGACAGAACCATGGCCTCACAACGTGGTCGGCTCTCCCACGTACGAACCTCCCGAATGCGAGTTACACTGCCCTGTTTCACGCGCATACGATCTCTGGGGTCTCGGCTGCCTCTATCTGGAATTTGCTACCTGGATTCTGATGGGGAACGAGGCCATAGGGCAATTCTCAACTTGTCGCGACCGACAATCTAGCTTGTATCCTCAGCTGACTGACGATCACTTCTTCACTATTATACGAGACGAATTCAACGGACAGCAGAAGGCTGTGGTGCGTGAAGGCGTGACGAAATGGGTCTGTGACCTTCACGCCCACGAAAGTTGTTCGCAGTTTCTTCATGACCTCTTGAAACTCATTATGGACAGCCTTCTCCAACCCGATGCAGCACACCGAATAGAGTCGAAGGATCTTTGTTCTAAGTTCGAAAGTTTCCTTGTCAAGGCCGCTGAGGACAACTATCTCTGCGCATCTAATCCATGATGATAGTCTACTGATAAAACAAAACAATTGAAACTTTGTCCCCTTTTAAGTAATGTAATCAAGATCACACTCAACATGGAGTTCTCTTGCGTGGCTTGAAGATTGAAGGTTTGTCTGGACAAAAACGTCAGTAAAACTTGATGTGGTGGTTTGGCCAAATTTCGGCTGCCACGTTGCCTTCGCTCGCAGATACATGACATGGTGCATGTTGAGCTGCAATGTCTTACCCACAGCATCGTTCATTGCTTGCTGCATCGCTGAGTGGCGGTGTGGTTGCATTGTCGGGAAGCGACGGCAGGATTCCTGCCGAAAACAATTTCTTACGAAAACTGACCCGCAGACACGGTTGGATGCATAAAGCACGCCATTGTTTGCCTGATCCCAGGAGTGGGGAACCGAAGTATGCATGCTGAAAGTTGGTGGCGGCCTGCTGATTGGTGCACACCTTTCCGCTCAATACCGAACCTGCGGATAACAGTGATTGGTTCTCTCAGGTAGACAAACAAACTATTAACGTCTATTGCTGACGTTAAAGCTACAAACAAAGAGAAATAGTTTTTTTCCCTAGAAATAACGGTTTTATGCGTTTCTCGTGGCTTGTTGATGGATAATTGCGTGTAACAAAATGAGATAGCCATGAAAGTGAACAGAAGCTGTACTATTGAGACTTAGGAACAAACTGGAAAATATTCTGAAGATGCCCTTCTGAGCATTGAGATCTGCTAATACCACGCCGTAAGTGCTCAGTGATATTAGCCCTCAACATGGAAGATCAGCACTTCATGCCGTGCCGGTCCGCCGTACAGACCGTCGTGCGCAGATGGAAGTTTTGGTCTGCCGTAGCTTTACCCGCACCGCCACCGCAAGCGATCGCTCGTCTATCCCACACCACACTCAACATCATCGTTTCTAAGATTGAGATCCTGACACGCTCAATACCCACAGCATCAAACCAACTGCCTTCGTGTAGAAGCTTCTGTCACCGTCTTCAGTCCTCCCGGATCATTTGCTACTAGTTGCTCGGCAGCATGACCTCGAACAAACGCTTCGCACAATACAACCAACACGTCGGCTACGACAGACGTTGGCCCGTCATGTACGCCTTTGCTGTGGACGAAGGGACAAGGCTTCGACCTCTGGAGCTGAAGCCCCCTTAACAGAGCACTGCGCGTTGATCTGATGTTCAACTCAACTGATTACGAAAGATTGATCACCTTCGCAGCGTTGGTGGTTAAACCCCGATCAAGGCGATTACTGTTGGACAAGTGGATACTGTGTTGAATTAGGAAGCTATAACGGTACAGTAGCTTACTTGAAGCATACAACCATGTTAAAACTGCTCCTATACAACCAGAAACCCACTGAGCTCTTCCATCAACCAAACAGAAGAACCAAAATTAGGAAAAGTTCGCCTCAGAAGAAACCCAGTTCCCTTAACACTCATCCCTTCACCTCTGACGGCCTAAGAGTGGGAAATCGTGACCTTGATATCATCGCTCACGGTAAAGGTACCACCAACCCTCTCCGTGAAGCCCTCGTCCTTGCACTTCTGCTTGACCTGTCTCAAGTAGTCGACCATATCTTTGCACGCCAGTGTCGCCTTAAATTTGCCGCAGATGCTCAGCGAGGCGCTTCCGGACTCCTTCCACGATTCACAGTCGCTGCCCATGCCGTTGTTGACGATACAGGCGCCGCCCTTCGCGTACAGAGCGTCCAGCGCGTCGGAAACGTCGGCGGATGAGGGGCTGGCGTCGGATGCCTCGCAGACCGCGCCGTAATCGGCCGCGGCGAGAGTGGCTGCGAGGAGAAGAGCGAGAGTCTTGCTGAGGGAAAGCATCTGGGAAGTGTTAGTGTGCACGAGGACGTAGGACCGCTGGTAAGTGTGTTGCTCACTTTGATGGTTTTGGTAGTTCTGGTAGTGGTGAGCGTAGTGGGTGGTGTTTTGTTTTGCTTTGTTTTGCTTCGTTGTCTGTTTGAGACTGATGCTGATGATGGTTCTGCTTCTTTCTAGGACTGCGACAGTGGTACTTATAGATGTTTTTGCTACCTTTGTCTGGAGTAACTGATTTAGAACCCAACACTTGACTCGAGTCTTCGCCCCAAACGGCCCTCTTCAAGGTATGATGGTTCATCCGCCAAGCATCCTTTACAGACCCATATACCGCAAGACCGCGGCCCAAAGATATGGCCCATATACCAGGCAAGTGTTGTGTCATTTCTCGAAGACTTTGCCCAACCATAAAATTTTACAGCGTAACAAAACCTTTTGATCGTTGCACAAAACCCGTTGATCTGTGTCCTAAAGAGCCACTTTGAATCGACCACATCTTGCCGTGTGGTGAGAACGGCCCCGGAACGAACCCTCCCAACCTCGATGACGGCCCACCGGACCACAAATAATTTCGCGACGGAACCTCTTTGGAAGAAACAGCCCGCGCGTGCATTGAGCGGTTAGCGGAAAAAGAAGTTAAGCCGTAAGGCTGACTCCAGGGAGTACACTTACTGGCACCTGCTGTAGACAGGCAGACCACAACCACATCCACAAGCGCACGCAGCCCAACCACAGCCCCAACACCGATATCCGTCACCACTGGGCCCTGATCTCAACACGAGTCCTCGTATCATAAAAAAGAATGTCTCAGACCCAACAATATAACTACCCTTCTCCCCCGACAGAGGGTGGCCCGGTAGATGGTGGCCTACTTTCTGACTTCAGCATTCTGGCCCCAGTCCACGCGGCTCTGCCGTTTGGGATCGGCTCGGTTCGGATCAGTGCCGGGTCTGGCTGCTGTGGGGGCGGAGAAGTGGGGCTGCTTGGCATAGGGCTGTAGGGCTGGGGGCGGGGTTTGCGGTGTGTCCTGATTCCGATTAATGATAATGGTGGTGTGATTGCAAAAGAGCGTGGAGTTTTCGGTGTACTTGGGGTTGAGGTTGGCGATCCCTCCCCAAATATCCCTTTGCATGTCGCCGGCCACTGTCTTACAGGCTGCTAAGATACCTTTCCTGGTTATATAACGTCTTTCAGCGGGAACCGAGATCCACAGCTTAGCATGACAGGAGATGATACAAGCAGTCCCTACAGAGTACTCCATACCTAGCTCACAGCCCGAGTCCTGGGTAGGTGCAACGGTCTTAGAGCACACATAGACTCTATACATCGTAGCTGGGTCTCTTCTTCTCCTCTGTACAAGTATCACCATCTCGCTTCACGGTGGATCTCGTTTCGCGGTGACGGACGTTAACGAAACCGAACAACTTCTCAAATCAGCGGGTTGCAAAAGGAACCAACACCTTTTACTTTTTTTGGTTCGAGAAGGTTTTCCTCGGCGAGATGACTGCTTTACTCATATTATAGCATCTCTAGGCACAAGGTTTCTAGGTTAACAAGCGCCTAACATCGTCACAAGCTCGTGGCTCTAACGCCAAAAACATTTACCTTTTTGCCGACCGCGATAACTTTTGTTACGCGCAGAACAAGGCTTTCGACAGTACCCGCGAGCACCCTCACGATGGCATAGAATAAGTAGCTCACTGTAAGCCCGACGACTTCTTGTTATACATCTGGTTCGGCACAACCACAGCAACGGCCATTCTTGATCTCAGTAAAGGCTCGATTGTTACTTTCTAGCGCAGCGGTTCCGTCTGCGCCATGGCCAAAAATCATCGACGCACTATTCAATTACACTCCAACCTTACACCGCTAGGGCGCCGACCTCGGCCACAACAGTAGTGTAAAGCTTTGATGGAGCTTTAACGGAAAACGACCGTGTCAATGACTACACTAGCGCCATCATCGCAATTCTTGGTCTCAGCGGAAAGATGTTCTGAGCAACATCTGCTTGCGGAGTAAGAAATGACCGGACTTGACTTTTTCAAAGCGGAAGTCTTTTGAGACTTCCATGGGAATCTACTTGGTTCGACTTTTTCGTTTTCTACTTTCCATTCAATCGCCGTTCGGTCGATAGGTAAGATGTGGTTTTCTGTTACACAAACTCCGCCAAGGCCCTCGGTCGCAGTGGAATCTCCCAGATACCTACTGTATACAACACGGTCAATAGGGCTCCTCCGACGATGGAGCCATCATTCTCCGGATGAAGATTCCTCTTTGAGGATTCTCTAAGAAGGGCAGCTTGGTCACAGCTGGTGCAAGTCCACACGGTAATAAGCCAAGCTGCTTAGCAACGAGATTACTCTAGCTGACAGCGGTGATGCGGATAGGGACTTCGTATACTTGACAACCAACTCAACTACCAATCAATACCAGCCTACACATGGAATTACCACATCCTTCTTCCCGATTTTTCACCATAAACCTCCTGCTACCACTTGACATTCCGAGGGACTCGTATACGGGATAAGAACGTAGTTGAAGAAAAGAACATAGCGGCATGCACATTGCACCCGCAGTCGCTCGAGCTACGGCACACTTATACCAGGCCTCTCATACCGGCCAGCTGCTCTTTCGGCTTCACGCTGTCGTTTGCCATGTGCGCGCGCGGAAGAATTACGTACCACCGCGGCATGTTGGATCCTGATGGCCGTGGCAGATGTTGCGCTGTGGGCCTTGGTCTGGTCTTTCTGACTCTTTGGCTCACTCAGAGTAAAAAGTGGTCAAGTTTTCGAAAAGTGTTTCACTTACCTCGTGGAGGAAACAACTCCATCGACATCACTCATGGTTGCGATGACTGCAACTAATTTACTGGCAGGGAAAATTGGTTGAGAATTGGCTCGTGGACAATCCATCCCGCCATTGCAACTTTGAGGCCATTTTTCGTGTGCCCCAGGCCGAGACTTTTTATTTAACAGCCTGTCACCCGCATAAATCAGTCATTAAACGGATGTATGGTACGTTTTTGGCTAAAATTGAACTATCGAGAATCAACCCCAATCGATCAACGCCCTTGATCGCGATAAAGCCAAAGGCCGCTCGTCTGCAATTAGTCCTGTGGTAAAATTTGCCTTTGTGGCTGATGCTGAGCCTCTGTTCCAAAACAATGTCTACGGGATTATGGTTCAGAAACAAGCAACCATGACTTACAGCATGACTCCCTCTTGTACACCAACAACAACATATAATACTAATATTTAACTGGGCGATCTCCCATTGCCTACATGAAAAGAAAGAAAGCACCCCGAACGCTTGCCACCCCAGAAAAGCTTACGAAAACAGGGAAACTCACCAGCGAAAATGGAGCACTTCCGTGCGTTCATCCGCTTCCAGGAGCACTGTATCCAGGTCTCCGGCAATCCGATACGCACAACAGCTGTCGTAGCCATGCAACGCAACCGCCTAGATGACAAGAGCGAGGCCGACTTCAACGAGCTCCGCATCCTGTGCGATCTCTTCCTCGACAAGCACGAAGAGATCATGAAAGGAGTTGTCGAGTAGATGGCCGGACGCGAAACCAACAAGGACAACGCGCAGCGTGTTGGACTGGATGCTCACACGGAGGCAAAGTACGAGTACCTTCGTCGCGCCTACAACATCCCTCTTGCGGAGTACAGGCGCTTCATCCTGCGCGAGGTCAAGAAACAGAAGCAGGCCGCCGCGGGTAGTACTAGCAGCGCTGGTTCGTCGGCCAGTTCCGCCGATTCTGGCGTCAGTGATGTCGATCATGATACTAGTTCTGAGGCTGCCCCGAGCAGCAAGCTTGGCCAGGCTGATATTGGTATGCTTGCGGCTTCCATGGGTCTCTTCCCTTCTTTCCAGGGCTATGTCTTGAAGCGCGGTGGCTGAGTCTTCCACTCCTTGCTTCCCGACACAGCGTTTCTATGCTGGTAAACCCCCCATAGCCGCTCTCCCCGGATGAAACCTTAAGTTAAGAGCATCAAGTAAGCCTGCTACTTTTCTCTCTTGGGTTTTTCTTTTGTCTCTCTGAAATGGTTCTCTTTGGTAGTTTTCCTCGTGCTCGATAGACTTCAAGATTGTTTGAAGTCTATCGCGCATGACTCTCACTTCTCTTGCTTGGTAAAGAAGCATAACATAAAATTTCTTATTTCTCTCCGCTGAAGTTTCCGCGCGATTTCAAGGTAAAGTAGGTGCATTGTCCACGTCTTTTCGTTTAGTAGTTAGTCCTCTTTGCGTGGTGTGCGGGCTTGTTCATTGCTCAAATTCTTCGTCGCGGTCTGGTAACGGCGAGAAGGATGAAGATTTAGTTTCTATTCTTCAGTCACATTAGGATGCCTTTGCTGCTGCTGACATTCATCCTTAGATTTGGCTAGCAGGGACTCATTGAACATTTTCGCAGCCATCCGGGTCATCAGCCGGACGACAAACTGGAAAACGCAGTCTTCTGCTGCAAGAGCTGCCGCTCAGCATCGATACCGTCGTTGTCATGACTCGGAGGTTTGGGTGCTGGTGCCCTCGGGAGAGACGAGCGCTTTTGTTGCCTACGCGATGGCCAAGGCGCGTTTTTATTAGAACGATGGAAGCCATGGGAAAGTACAGGATCCGGGAAGGATCAAAGCGTGGCCCCCACATCCTTTGCGGGTGGCGTTGTGGGTGCCGAATTAACGATCGTCATTGGCCCCCAGGCTCCACCGCACGGCCACCGGAATCCTGCCGTTGCTCTTACGACCTTTACTTTGTCTTGCGTTTGGCTTCTGACTTTATTGCAGTGTACTCTGAGTAGAGCTTGGCCATCTCTACAGGCATCAGTGCTCAGTGTTGTTACACTGTGTTGCAAAAACTTCGATAGTTCGACTCTTGCGTTCACTCGGCCCCATACCTTGTCATGAGACATTTCATATAAGTTTACATGTTGGATTGTTAGGTATACACGTTGAGAGTAAGACCCAGAATCCTCAAATAGGCTTATTGTTCCCGCGTCAGCACAGTAACATAACATTAGTTTCATTCAACGGAAGCATATACGCGCTTACAGCGTCTGTTCACCCATTTGCAAGACCGACCACGAGCAACAGAGGATCACCGGGGCCAACGAAAACTCCCTAATCCGATGAACAACACCGCAGATCCCCAACGGCCCCAAAATGCAATAACCACTATGAAAATGCCATCATGCGCAGTTGGGGGCTTGGGGCGGACCACGAACCTCAATAAGTTTTAAAAGACAGCACTGAATCTTCCGAACTCATCAACAACTCAACAGCAAATACAACTTCCATTGCTTTACCACCACTACACTCCTTTTCAACGAAATCTCTCTTTCCAAAATGCACCACTTCACGGGGCTGCTGCCCCTCGCCTTCCTCGCGGCCTCCGCCTCCGCCGTTGTCGTCCGTCCCACGGGCTACGTTGCGCAACCCCACGTCACGCCGACGCCGCACATCTACGAGGGCGTGGGCAAGCGGTACGTCGTCATCGGCACGCCCACTGCCACGACCCCAGACAGCCTGCTGTTCGCGAACGGGACGCCCTGGCCTACGCCAAACCTCCCCCCCATGGGCCACGGCCCGGTCAAGAACGGCGGCCCCCCCGCTAACCCCGACAACGCGTACCACGGGCCCGAGGAACCTTACTATGACGGACGGACCGGCATGGCTCGCCGTGCCAAAGAGTTCGGGTTCAGCCCGTGGGGGAACACGCACCCGGACCACCTCTCGCGGCGCGGGGAGGCAGGTGGCAACACTGTGCACACCCCTGTGCACACGCCCGTGGCCACGCCTGTTCTCAATGCGGATGGCATTTCTGTCAACTTGGGTCCTGCTGTTATTCCACCAGGTTTACCTGTGGAAGAGTACAGGATGATTCATGACCCCATTGTGGCGCGCAGGAGCTCGTTCTTCGCGAGGCGCAACAACGACCCCGCCCCCAGGATCGAGACGCCGCACCTCGACAGCGGCGCGAATGTGCACGGCGACCTTGCGCGGCGCGCTGAGTCCGGTCCTAGAATCGAGACGCCGCACCTCGACAGCGGTGCGAATGTGCATGGCGACCTCGCCAGGCGCGCTGATCCCGCCCCTAGGATTGAGATGCCGGATCTTGGCGATGCGACTCCACGCGGGGACCTCGTCCGGCGCGCTGTCTCTGACGAGAGGCTTAGTGAGTCGGAGAGGCAGCAAGAGGGGGGTGATGAGCAGCACAGCGACAGCCCCAGAATCGAGATGCCGGATCTCGGCGATGCGACTCCGCGCGGCAACCTCGCTCGGCGCATCGTCGCTAATGGGATGCAGCTAGCGGATAAAGAGGGCACGTATATACCCACGGGCCTGGTAAGGCGCGACGTTAAAGACGACGTTGACTACTCCGACTCCGAGCCTACTGTGGGTGATATCACGCAGGAGGAGGCGAGGCAGGAGCTAGAGGAATTGAATCCTTAGGATTGCTGTTTTGGGTGCGCTTTTACTTTTCTTGGGGGATTATAACAGGGTGGACGGAGATTTTTCAGCTTTGGTATTTTCTTAGAGAAAGATGTTGTTATAAGATTAGGTCTTGTATTAGCCAGATTGGTTAAACACTAAGCATTTTCACACATTCTTTCAGCATTATAATGTCCTCTCCGCTCCCGTTTCAGCAGATACTTGGGTTTTGAAGGCTCCAGCGAATAAAAGTGTTAGCATTTGCGAGACGTCTGAGGCGGTGGTGACCGGGAGATTTAAATTGCTGCCCCGAAGAGTTGAACGCGACACAGACACTGAAACCTTACAGGAGAAGCGTAACCTTATTCTACCTTTCATAGCATGGATCTACCTCAAAGCCACACACACTTCCATAATAAAGCTCACATCGTTCCCTAAATTATCAAACCGTCTCAAAATCAACCTCCCAACCCTAAAAACCCCACCCCAAAACCCCACCCCTCTCCTCTCCCACTCCCTAGGCAGCATATCGCAAATCCCTTCCTCGCTCTCACCTCTCCTTTCCTCCCTCTGCAGCTCCATCCTCCTTGCAAAAAAACACCTCGTTCCTATGTATGCAAGACATGAGGGAAAGATGCTGGAATCATCATGGGGCTAGCGTGGATGGACCTCTCGACTATCATTAAATCGGCACTGGGAGATATACTCGACTGTCTTGCTGGTATAGATGCTCCTACGGTAATCTAGCATGGCAAACCCATCTAAAAGCGCGCCCAAAAGCAAACAGCACGACAAGCAAGCCACCCACCCCCCGCACCGGGTAGCGCGCGCGCGTGAATTTCCAACCGACCACAACCCCTCCCCAACCACGTCAACCCCCCAGTCCAACCAAACGAACCTCCCTAGCACTTGCGCCACGTACCCCCCCTAGCATCCGCTCCACAAAGTCGCAACCACGCTCAGCGCCGGCGCGCCCCACAGCACAGGCAGCGCGACCGCCATCCCGACCTTCCAGTACTGCCAGCCCAGTACCGCGGAGCCCAGCACGCTGCTCCAGAGGATGAGCTTCTCCTCTAGAGTGCGCGGGCCGCCGAGGCGTGCCCATTTTGCGTTGAGGGCCGCTGTTGTGTGTCGCTGGTGTTAGCATACCTTCCTTTAAAGCCGACATTCGCGCACAGTGTTGAGGCTTGGGGATGGGAGATCAAGGGTTTTAGGGATAAATGGGTTGGGGATCAAGGGGTTGCAGATTGGGGTATTGAGGGTTTCGAGGGAAACGCACCCAAAACAACAGTAGCAACAACAGCATAATCCCACGTGGGCCCCGCAACGCCCTTCGCGATCTCGTTCTCGCGGCTGGTGGATGGGATCTGTGCGAGTGCGGGGTAGATGACGCTGAAGCCTGTGGCGATGTGTTTGGGGATCGTGAGGGCCATTGTCGCGGCCGAGAGGTAATAGAACGTTGATGGTGTGAAGAGCGGCATGTTTGTGCGCGTGCGGGTTGTCTTTTGCTATTGCTTGGCCTGTTGTATGCTGTATGTTGGATGTTGTAATACTAGTGGTGGGCGTACGGCTATTGTGGTAGTGAGGGAATCGAGCACGACAAGAGCTGGGAAACGGCTTTATAAGTAGGTTCGTGGAGCTCAGCAAAGACATTCGATCCTTCTGCGTATTTTGAGTGCGCCGCTAAATTAGTGTAGAGTATATTTTGCAGGAATCGTGAAAGTTGACGTAAGTCAAGAGAATACTAATAAATCCGTACTATAAAGAGACTCGATCCTAAATATTGTTGGCTTTCCATATATACCTAGTAGAAGTAGATATCTTAAAACTTACTAGAGCTCTTCTTCTCTATTCTTCCTTCCTCTTACAATCGTAGATTATAAAGCGAGTATAAAACACAAGCTAGTAGTAGCCTATTCCTAGCTATTAAACTATATTTAATTAATAGTGTGTAAAATCATCTAGCCTTATTACCGTCGGTCTAAATAAACAGGCGGTACGCTAACGGGCAGTAATAGCCGTCTCTATAGCGACGCGCCAAGAACGGTCTCGGCCCGACGGAGCTTAGTCTCTTAGAGAAGTAGTTATTTTTATCTCTACTAGCATAGAGGCTTAGAGGGGTAAACGCCACCCGCGTTACTTAGCTAGGCTTAGTATTATAGCCCTACACGCGCGCGAGCGAATAATAGGACGATCGAGCGAGTGAGTCTTCACGACCTCCCTGCTAAGCTGCGACGGCCTGTTTCACACCTAAGTTGACCCTCTGGGACTGGTGGAGAAGTACGCGTGGACACGGGGGCTTGGAGGCGTGGGGGTGGAGAAGATTACTTTTTTTAAGCTTTATTATTGCAATATAATGCGCACAAGGATAAATTCAACAACCATACTAAGACTTGTGATAACTGTATGACGGAGCCGGACGAGTACGACTTGTTGCACCGTCCAAGTAAACGTGTGGACGGTTGCACACTCTGGATGCCGAGGGGATGACCGCGCGGGGGGATGCCGCGGGTCCGTCGTGAAGCGTTGACGAGGGCCGCGGCATAGGGGCGTCCAGTAGGGATAGTTTCGTGTGACTGAGTATTTGCTTGCCGCTGCTGTTGGTGGGAGTCTGCATGAATAGAAACCATGGATTGGAAAAATGAAGACGTAAACGGGGTCTTTGGTAGTGGAAAAAAAGACTTAACATATGAAGTACCTAGTCTGGAAGCTTGTCACCACTCTACGAGAGAGTAAAGCGTTTGAACAAACGCAAACGCAATGAAGTGTTCAACGCCTGGCCTCAGCCAACATACACACCTTCTCGGCAACGCCACCCTCCGAGGGTCCTCGCCCCGTGCACAGTCGTGAGCACGTGTCTGCCGTCGATGTTGTCGCTGCGGCCTTCATGGCTGAGCAGCACGTCATCCATGGCCGGCAGCTGGTGCGGGTCCAGTGCCAGGTCGTCGGGAACGCGCACGGTCGCAAGGTCTAGGTCCTCGGTGCTGCCGGCGGGGGAGAAGAAGGGGTCGGTGAGGAGTTGAGGCCGTTGATGGTGAGGACGGCGGTCGTAGTGCTGGCGTGTGTGGTGCTGACGCTGGGGGGTGCCATCATGCCATGGTGGTGGTGGTGAGGTGCTGATGGTGGCGACGCGGTGAGGTGAGAGATGGATCATGGTGCAGGATGGTTCTGACTGGAGATGATCAGCCTTGTTCATATATCTAGGTACTGTCGAGTGAAAGCCCGTTATGTGGTCTTTCCACGGGAGTAGGAATAGGTTGCGGCGAGACGAGAGGCGTGCTTGCTCTGGGTTCTGGGTGGGTGTGATGCCCGAGCGGTGGTGGTGGTGGTGGTGGTGTGGCGCAAGCTCTCAGACGGGCGCGAACCTCAAGGCCATAAGGTAGGTACATACCTACCTAGGTAGGAACAGCGACACGAACGGCAGACGACGAGGAACAAGGACCTAGATTAAGTACATACGTAGACAGCCACGCAGAGAGGTAGGTAGGTGCCTTATATACAATTCGCGCTCCACATCGCCTCAAACCTAAAACCCCCAACCAACCCTAACGCCATGGGCCCTGGCGATCTTCTCCTCCTCCAGCCGCTCGGGGCTAAAATCCTCAAAGCCATAACTCCAAATACTCTCTGCGGCGGAAAACTCCCTACTCAAGCTGCCACCATCGGCCTTCGAGCTTCTTGCACCCACATGCTGCAAGACGGGCGGACTCATAGCCCAGCGGAGCTCGCCGCGCGAATCCGCAAACTCCTCCGTCAGCATGTCCACGAACCCGACCCCCGCGCCCCGGTAGAACGTCACCAGCTCGCGCACCCGCCGTGCCTGGAACGCAAACCCCTGGCTGCAGCACCCGTACCGCGGCATGTGGTGGATGCCGGGCGCGAGGGGCGCGAGGCAGGACCGCCCGGCGGCGAAGAAGAGGCCGATGGATAGGGGCAAGAAGACCAGCGCGGTGAGGTAGAGGACGGGGGTCGTGAGGATGGTGGTTGCGAGGGTGGGCGAGCGCCGCCGTAGGATGTGCAGGACTCCTGTTAGGCTGATGATTGTGAGGAGGGAGAGGAAGAGGTAGCCCGGCCATTCTTCGCTGTTGTAGCCAAGGAATTGCTCCGTGTAGAAGAGGCGTAGGTACAGGACTGCGGCCGTGTTAGCAATAATGGATGCATTTCGTAAAAGATGGGGATACACGCACAGCTCTCTTCGCCCCATTCGTGCGTCTTGGCCTCTGCCGCCTTCAACGCCTCCTCTACCCGCGGCAACCACCCTTTCATGGCGACAACGTCGTCCTCCAGCACAACCGTGTACCGCGCGCCCGTCTTGTCGCACTGCTCCAGCAGGTACGCGTAGTCAAAGAGGCCCTTTTGGCGAAACAAGCCCTGCTCGCGCTCCCACCCCTTGATGCGATCCAGCTCCTCGCCCTCGACACCGTCATAGCCGCGCACGACCGTATCCGCCACGTTATCAATCCACTTCTCCCCCGCCGCAGGGTGCATGGCCGGGTCCGTCTGCGCAATAAACAGCAGCAGATGCAGGCGCTTGCGCTCCTCGTCGTCCAACCCATCCAGCACGGAGCCGACGGCGTGGCGGAAGTAGCGCGCGCCCTTGCGCGCGACCGTCGCGATGCCGACGCACAGCTCCGGCCCGGGCGCGTCTGCGGCTTCGAGCTCCGCGGCCGAGCGGTTCGCAAACGGCAGCGCGAACGGCGCGCTCCGCTCTGCGTCGAGGATGAAGTGCGCGGCCTCGTGCTTCCGCACGGCCGAGTAGCGCGGCGTGTGGGCGCGGTAGGGCGCGAAGAAGGCGGAGGAGGGGTCGTGGTCGCAGCGGCGGCGGAGGTAGAGGAACGCGACGAGGTAGAGGGCGAGGAAGAGGAGGGTGGCTCGCGCGGCCGGCGAAGAGGGGCTGCGCAGGTCGAGAAGGCGTGGAAAGCGTGGGCGCAGGAGCATGGTGGTGGTCGGTCGGCGGGGAGGGAGTCGGCGTCGGGCGTGTGTCGTGCTCGTGGTGGTGAGTGGAGAGGAGAATGAAGGAGACACGACAACAACGCGTTGGCAGACAATCGCAACTCGCGGGTGGAGACGTTCTGCTGGCCCTTGCATGGCCGTTGTTGTCGATCATCATGGGGGCGGAAAGGGCATTGGGCAGACGCAAATGGCAGGTCCGGTCCGCTCTCCGCTCTCCGCAAGACGACATGGCGCAAGGCGCAAAGCTAGCCAGCTATTCTTAGCATGTGCAAAAA